TCGGCTCGGCTCGCTTCGTCCCTGAGGCATATTATTACACATACGCCGCGAGAGGTCCGTGCCCGTCATTAGCCTCGACATTTTTATTCCTTTCTCTTTAATTTCCGTCAGTAGACATAAATGATGGCGCTAGCTAGTACCGCTGCAGCGCCGCAGGGACACACTTCGTTCAATAACAGTGGACACACAGCAGCCCAACCTATTCAGTTTTATAATGAGATTCGTCAAATTGAATCGTAATTGCAGTTACTTTTAGACAAAAGAACCTATACTTGAGAATGGCATGTCAAAAGATATAACATAATGCTAATAGTTTTAGGCTTTCAAACCTAAATAAGAACATTCAGCACCGAAAATCTCTTGTATATGATACAAGAAATAGAAAAAGTAGAAGTATAAATTCGGTGAAGCTCTAGGTAGTTTTTAATAATAATTTAGACAAAGCAATAATGTTAGAATATAATTTATTCGAGAAATTTGCTTTTACCCAGGTTGCGTACAAAAGTGCCTTAAAAACAAGGTTTTACTAAGGTAACGTACTATTACTAATGAAATACTCGCAAGTTTAGGTTTTTACAAGGAAATATCAAGGTATATACTAAATTATTAATTTTATTTCTTTATTCTCAACATAACATAACGTACCTAGTTATCTTGAGCGGCTAAAGGGTTCCTGTGGTCACCTCTCGAAGCTCTCTTGACTTGAAACTTTTTAACATCGTGACTATTCGTATACGTATTTTGCGTAGATTTAGTGTATGGTATACAGTTTTGTGCACAAGGATTTTATAAAATTAGTAAAATATTTATCACAGTCTAATCAAGACAATGTCAAATAAACGCTATTATATCGCATCAACAACAATAGCCTGCATTTACATTTCTATTGTGAATTACTGTACTTTGAAATAGACTCGAGAAGCATCAGATAACACTAAGTACCACTAAGTAGCCCGTGATCACGACGCACGTCCACTTGATGAATTATACAAACACCAATCAGTTAATAATTATATTCATGTCGATCAGCCGGCTATCCACCTTTATGTTCTACATAATAGATACGTTAAGTCTATGGAACAATCCGACCGTCACTTAGTTGATAGGGAGCGGGTTGACGGGCAGAACGCGACGCGCGAGTCTTGCTCCACAAATACAAAAGCAAAGTCAGTCGAGATGACTGTTCGACAGTCGAACTACCTTGTCCTGTAGCTTCGGCTCCTCACAAAGAACCATTTTAACATAATACGACTGAGCCTATTCTTTTCACATCTGTAATAGCATAAACCATATTATTGTCTTGTAAGCTTGTTGGTTACGAGATGTTACATCAGTAAGCCCTCTCAAATCGAGTAAGAATAAAATTCGAAAACAAGGTTCACAAAAAATATTGTGATTACAGTAGAAAAAGATAATGTAAAATAAGAAAATACCAAAGATATTTTGAAAACGAATATTTATGAATTCAAGTACACTTGAAAATTATCATAATATAATTTCACTTCCTGCAAATCTAATTGTTTTTAAAATTACAAACATACTCATGAAACAAACTAAGATAAAATAATTTAAAATCGCTAGAAAACGACACGCGCTTATATCATTGAAAAGCTTTTATAACAATTGACAATTAAATTATTTCCTCCTAAAACGCCAAAGCCCGCCGACTTAGCTTATCAGCAATCCATAGGATTGAATTATTAGTAGCAATTAAAGACATCTCAAAATATGCGTTATCAATATTTTAATACGGTAGCACGCAGCTACTTACATATTTAAATTTTGTGAACGCGTGACTGAGTTTATTAGAAAAGTATTCCCGACAAGATAATGTTAAATAATTTAGTTGATCGTCGTATGGAAAAAATATTGATCACCGTGAAACTAAAGGTTGATCACTTTTTTAAATGGGCTCGGTTTATTGGCGTCTACTAATCTAAAATATTTTTATGGTGAAATATGAGATGTTACTTAAAGTGAAGACACAATATTTAAATTTGAATAGTTTTAGTGTACCTATATCATTTCTTAGGGATATGCAATGGCGACCTTATCATTAGGTCTTATGATCTTACAACACCCATTACAAAAAATAGTAATAGGAGTGTAGGGGAGACCACATAGCTAGAAGTCTTGTTATTATTTATTTAAAAATTATCAATACTCATCAACATAAGATCAACGATTTAGACATTTTTTCTTAAAGCTTGTGTTATTATATGTATATAAATCACAATTTACATTTTAATAGCCACCAAATATTACTTATTTTCATAGCAGCTTTCTCTTGAATTAATAATTGAACATAATCTAGCCCTTTCAATAATTTAATGTAACAAATGTCACTCTAGTATATTTTTCCTAATTTTGCAAATATGCAAAAAAGCATGCCATGGGGCATAAAGTAAATAAATTGAGTATTCTGTTATGACAAACTATAACAGCAAACGTTAATTAAATATTATCTCGTCGTTTTACGTAAATAAAATGCTCAAGCACGAGAATCTTCTCTTCGCCACAACCAGAGTGGCGAGAGCACTCTATTTTCTAATCTTGGTAAGACGTTCAAAGTGTGTGACGGCATCGATATCGGTATAATGCGACGAATGTTAGGGCGACCCGGGCCTATCATATAGGAATGTGTGTACGATGAGGAATAAGTGTTGGATTAATAATTCGTAAATATTAAATATTCATGAGCGTCGAGAGCACGGGTCAAATATTCAGTTTTATAAGAGCCCGAGAATTGTACCCGCAATCATATTTATTAAGGAGATGCAGGTAATTATCATAACTGACATAACGGAACAACTCTCCGACTAATGGACGTAGGACAGCAACATCGGTGGAGATCTAATTTATTGTTATTAGTGAAAATCTCCGACATAATTGGTTCATATTTACACTCTTCATACGACCCCAGTAATCTGATCTATTAATTTAATTTATTATAATTGAACTGTGTTATGTGGCATGATCACAAAATTAAAAATGCAATTCATTCGAAGTAAACTACAGAACTGTCTGGCATTTAAGTTAATCCCTTTGAAAAGTCGTTTTTTACTTTTGATATTGGGTAATTTTATGATTTTTGAAATATTTAGAAATGCGAGGATAAAGAGAACAAGTTATATTATTTTAATTGTGTTAGTAAACTTTTATAATTTTTGTAAAGTAAAAATACAGTTAATGTAAAAATAATAATTGAGGATATTTTAATTTAAGTATTGAGATAGCAAGTCTACTCAATATCAAAGTGTTAACAGAAGCAGGCAATCGTAACCATATTCAACAGTATTGATTTAAAGCCCGGACATCTATCACTTCAGGCAAGATAGAATAGCAGTGCAAGAATAGAAATAGACACCCTAATAAGCAGGGACTAAAGTGACTATTAACTAAGTCGATACACTTAATAAATATTTCACTATTAGTCGAATATTCTTATGTAGGGAGCAAAACTGTGGGACTAACAGAGAGAGGGAGATCCTTCTTTTGAACTTATTATTTTGTGACTTTAAAAATGTAAGCTTGGTTTGTACGTACATCGTCACTTTTTTTAACCAGCCAATTTTATTTCCTTCGAGTGACGTACGTGCCATAATTTGGTCTCTCTGACATAATAGTGGGCAGGCCTACTGCCTTCGATCACCTATATATTATTATGTAGACATACAAATATTATGAGTAGATATTACGTTGTATTTTTGTGCAAGATGTAATTTTTAAAAATCTTATCACTACTCCACTGTTTTATAAGGCGTACTTGAAAACGATTGTCGTTTCGTAATGGTATAAATATATGCAATTACAGTCAGGAATGAAAAAAAAAGCCCTGTCACAGTTAAAATTCAGGATTGCATTATTCCAACAAAAGTCGAAATTCGAAATTTTAAAAAAAACTACTGTTTATTACATCTACAGCTTAAAAGTTCTCGAAATTACATGTTTTGCATGCCGTCAAAATAATTTTCATGTTTTTAGATCTAAAGCTAATTAAATTTTTAAAACTTTTTTAACTCTGTAACATGCATTTCAATATTAAGAGGCGTAAATTAAGGTCTAGGCTAAATGATAAATTAAATAGACGATTCTATTGACACCTTGCAAAAAATAAAGTTCGTGGCTATTATGAATAGCATTGAAATACGGATAAAAATATTAGCAAACACTACCGGTAGTCTACTATACAATCTATTAAATTCCTTGTATTGTAAATGAAGCATTGCGATCTGTTTAAGATTACTTTAATTCAAGGAATCTCGTGAAAACTGCGTGTATGTTAGCAATAATTAAATCAATGCCACAATGCACTTCCGACACCAAATAGGATGCAAGGTGTGTAAACTATGATGAAAGAGTTGGTTTTGGAGCAAAGCGAAAGCAAAATCAGTTGAGATTTGCCTGCAACACACAAACTATCTGACTCATTTGTAATGTCTCGGGTTAAAAAGTGGCTCATTTCAATTCGGCAATTCATAAGTGGCAGTGAAGTGATAAAGATAGGTATTGTTTCCCGTTTGGTTGCCGCTTGTACATAGTGAGGAGGTTTCTTTTTGAATTATGAGAAATAAACCTTTAAAATACTACTACTACTAATGAGCTTATTTAGCATGTCATTGACGGCCGAAATATAAAAGTTATAATAATCTCAATGTAAACTGTTAAATGCGTACACCCACCACATTATTCAATATACTCTGTGCATCCACCTCACAAGCTGGCAACGCGCCTATGACTCCTGAGTAGGAGACGTTCATAAGCGACGGTTGACTTTCTATCATGTGACCCGTCTTCTCGTTTGCCCAATCAAGGGTTTAAAAATATATTTAAACCCTTGATGACAAGTTTAAGTAATTAAGATATTGATACTTGTATAAACGAAGCATTAAATATTAAAAAACGACTGAACAACCATCGACAGGATATTAAGAATATACATAATGGATTATCATTTGCGGCCGTCTTAATATGTGTTGTTGGAGTATGTTTTATCAAAATTAATGTGTAAAGTTATTTTCTTCTCGTAAATCGTGGGCGGTGGCGCGTGCCATACGAAGGCGGTTCAGGCCAAGGTGCGCCGCTCGCTGTGCGAGACGGTAGCCGCCCGCGCCACTGCACTGCTCAGGGCCCGTTACCTCTGTCACTTAAAACACATATCAACTACCTAACATACAAAAAGATATAAAAGTATTGAAAAACTCTTGATTTAAAATACGAATATAAGTTGTGCGATGGCACATCACTTATCTAGGTTTATTGTGGAAAATAACGAACCGTGAAAATATTATTTTCATAGTTATTACAGTTAAATTATGTGAAGACAGAATAAAAGACTTTAAGAAAGCGCCATAAAAATACGTAGTCTCACTGCGTGGACATGTTGTAGACGATGCCGCGGAACATTTCCGTGGATGATATACCGAAGATGAGTGCGACAGGCGCGCGCAACGGCGCGGTCGGTCGGCGCCAGAGCTGCGCCAGCGCGGCGTTTCGTTGACTTATGACCGTTGTAATGTATCGCAATGCCTCTATCATTCATGAATATTTATTGAAAAAATATATAGATTACAATGTATAATGTCATCAAGACAGAATATGAACGTGTTTATGTCAATAAATAAACATATCAGAGAGGATAGTATTGCGTTTAAAACTTACATATTGGTATAATTATTGGAGGCTGATAAATTTTATGTAGACGGCGAATTAGAAAAATGACACAAGTAATTATTTAAGAAACGTATCTTGACATCCATGATCTCCATTTTTTGTGAATAGGGTCACCGTGGGTCAATACGGTGTAAAACGATATTTAGAATTCTGCAAGCTTCATGCTTCAACCGATCGTTCCGTACTATTAACGTTATTAGATAGTAAAAAATTGCATCCGTGTGGTGATGTATTAAAAATACGGAGTTTCACCACCCCTGTTCATCCCGTAGGTGTCATTAGAGTCGACTAAGGGAGCAAACTACGCCGGACAACTCACTGCAAAGAGAAGGAAAACTTGAACAAACCCTATACCAACCCTTCTAGCCAGCGTGGTTTAGTATACTAATGATGTGGCTGTTGATGATAATGATGATGAGATAGTAAAATTGATAGTCTGATTGTTATCGGGAGTTAAAAATCCGGTCAAATCTTTTTGGCTATGTATTGGGCGTATGTTTTTCGTTAATTCAGGAAGTAGAAACGTGCCGTGGACTTGGACGTCCAATAGTCTAATAAAAATATACTCACACATCTTTTGCATGGCGTCTAATCCCCAACTATACAGCACTTATGCTATAAACATAATTATAAATTTGTAAATACATACACATTCATTAAATACACTCAGACATACACACACATACATTTGTCCTGGCTGGGAATCGAACACAAATCATCTCCTGATTAATTTGAGCTTCATTAATATTTTTAAATTCCTTATACTCAATTTAATATTACACAATTTGTCATTAATCATTTTAGAGAAGTTCGCGTTCATTTAAAGCAGTTCAAGTACGTTACCCATCAATACAGATAATACAATAGCATTCTTATTAGGAATATAATTTTACGATCACTTATAGCAATAAAATTAATGACAAATCACATGTGATGGTAACGCACTTTAAATTATGCTAAAACTCCCTAAACTAATCTCCATTAACCGGTTTAATTTAAGATGTTCAAGACACATATATTTTACTCATAAACCTCGTCTTGTTTGCGTTCAATTAATTTAAATCTAAAATAAAAATGCTAGAGGCAATAAAATAAAACGAATGTGTAATTTTTGTAATCTGTATCATGTCGAAGCGTACTCCGACTGGCGTTCTTTGGCTTCCCGTGGTTAATAAAATATATTCAGGGTAATCATTAAAAGTATATTTTATCGTGTTTTAAATATTTAGATATTCATCTGGTGAAAGTTATCTTAAATTTAGTTCGTTACTACTTATACGTAAGTCGTGAAACCAAATACGTCGCGGACTTGTGCTACGTACTTAATACTTATGTTACTGTACTGATAACGAATCAGACGGATTTAACAGTTTACAGTTCATCATTTATTTAAATGATATACTTACATGTACTGGTGGCTAAGATTCCATGTACCTACGGGGATTTTAATCGTATGCTATGTCAAGATCCATTAACATAAATATAATTTGTCAATAAAAATAATTCTATAAGCAAAGAAAGTGTTGAAATGTATTTTGACTTTATTTCTTTTATACCCATTAATCAAATATTACAGTTATAGTATTAATATATAGTTTATTTATGGTTATCTGTAATTTTATAAAAAAGCGTTTGTTTTGAAATTTGCCACTGAGTCGCATGATAGATACTTTGTTAATTAACAACATTTCATATTAAACCAATATTATCTCACGGAAAAATTAAAATTTCTCCAAGCAGTTATTATTTATGTTATTACTTTGAGTTTTAATCTAATAAACAGTTCTTAAATTGACATATTTATCCTTCAATCTATTCTCCGGATGCTCGTCGCCAATGCAAGTGTCAGTTAGATATATGATTATTTTCCAAGTCTCCAGCAATAAAATAACGGCTAACGTTATTTAAGGTCCCCAGGAAATGAAACAACAGCAACTGCCTAACTACCCAGTTTTTCCTGTTTGTGTCTTACCTACAATCTCGTTTTGTGTATAGTAAGGGATTCCTATGCAGTCTGTCAGACTCCTATAGGTTGTTCCGTAGCTATGTATAAAAATAGATTTTCATTTTAAAATAGATATTAGTATTCTCTTTATAACGTTATATATACATATTGATTACATTTTTAAATATATAACAAAAGAAAAAAAAAACATTTAAAAATATAAAAAATGGTAGACCACTGACATCGGGTACACTGGCCAAGACACCGGTGGTAAGGACTCCAAAGGCAGGAACGTACTCACTTTACGGGCCGTATCAAGTAGAACTGCCTACTGCATCAGACCCTTGATCGAGCCATCTAACGTGAGTCTCTTAAGGTGTTGGTCGAGGCTCTTGGCTTTCAATCCGTGAGCAGATACGACATTCCGCACATCGACAATCTCGTGAGATAAATCCAATCCAATCCATGTTGTTACTATTATTAAAATGATGAAAATCGATTACATAAATTTTGGTTACCGCTACAAGACTCATCATAAACTTTTTAATCTATTCTATCTTTAAGTCGGCTTCCCAGGTCATCATCGCAGCGATTTTAGATAGATAACATAGGAAATAAAACCTACATAATATGTATTTAATTGAACACAACCCTCCAGTATGAAACATACTTATTCACTATATTACATTACAACATACATAAATATTAACCTCAGATTCCTTCAAATGCAAAGATATAAATATATATATACTTTAATGAAAAATTAAGTGTAATTTTGATTTGCTTTTTAGCTTACAACACATTTAATTGTAATCAATCAAAAACACAAATCTTTACAATTACTAATATACCAGAATAAAGAAAAGCTGTCATTCGGAGGTAACAATAACACTCTCGCCTCCTAAAACATATGCATATCACTCTTCGTGAAATACAAAGTAAGTAAAACTGTCGAATATCGATTAAGGAACCGTGTCCCGGATTTTAATTAGGACGATATGTCTTTCTGGGGTCCGTCGGTGGACGAACATTACAAGATCAAGCGCAGGGTCGGGCAAACCGCTGAATTATTAATTTACATGTATACTCAATTAAACATAATTAGATACTTTAGCTCCTGTTTAAATTATTACTTAAACGGTAAAAAAGAAGAAGAAAGAAAGTAAAGAAATAAAGGAAAGATACTTGGTTACCAGGATACTGAGTTCGAGTACTAGTTAGTTGCTATTCTACCGTAACGACTTCCTATTGACAGATAATTGCGTACACACTTTAATCCATTACTCTCACCTTTTAGGTAAAGATAACCACCTTTCCCTCTTCAAAGTGCCTCTTTAGTTTCTAAATTACCTGCTTTAGTTAATAGGTAGGTAAGAATAAATTCAGAGTTAACAGAATGTTGGTACTAAATATATCTCTGCCTAAACCTTGAAGATAGAGGTGTTACATCATAATTGATAAAGTGTGTGTACTACACATCTTGTCCGTATTCTTAACATCTCCAAGCCTCCAAGGCCATGGCTATTCAAAGCTAAGTGTCCTTTGATTCATGCCTCGAAAACTAATTTAAATACATTTTTCGCTTTTGCCCGCGGCTTTACTTGCGTAAATGTACTTTTTCTATATCTATGTCCAACATTTTCTCAGAACACACACACAGTTATAGTAAAGAGACAAAACACGGGGACAGAAAACTCAGATTCAGTGTAGCCTACTATTTTTTTTAAACACGTTACTTTTCCGCATCGGCATCGGGCTTAATAATTATATAATTCCGAGAAATGCTAAAAGGTTTGTAAAAAATAATTTAAATGTTCGGTTACATTATTTACCTACAATAAATATATCATGTAATGTAGAATTAGTAGTAGTTGTATTTCAATTACAAATTGTGGGGTGTCACACACCCCGCACGACCACTTATGCACGCAACTTTTTAAGCGAGCCCAATTAATGGTTAATAGCTGAGCTTATAATTTCTCTTAATTATGTCTTTGTTTTAACGAAGATGAGACAAAGGCATAGTGATTTAAATAATATATTAAAGAAAAGGACATTAAAAAACATTGAAATTCCAATTTTGAATTTAAAGATACTTGCACACTAAATTTTTAACCGACTTTAAAAACACAGAAGAGGAGGTTATCAATTCTGTATTTTTGTTTTTGTATGTTTGTTACGCGATATCTGCGTCACTTGTGGACCGATTTTCAAAATTATCTCTCTTTTATTATATTCGATAGGGTATGCTCCTGAGGTGGTTCCATTACCACCCAATCAAGATCTAATGATGTGATCCTAGAGAAATCGAGGGAAACCATCAAATTTTAGAGCCCCGACAACGGGTTTAGCTTATTTCTCAAGCTTTAGAGGTATTTGCGTTTATTTTTCGTTATGTCATGTTGCTAAGCTGATGATGAAAGAATCCTTGACCTTAAGTAGTTAGAAAATAACTATTTAAAAATCTAATCATGTATTAATCTTGATTTTTTCTTTCAAGATATTGGTTAGATGTCTGTGTGATACAGAGATATGTGCACAAGAGAGTAATAAATGAGATTTCATAACATTTAGACAAAAGAAATTGTTTATTACTCAATTATATTCATGTTTGTTACCTCAAAACTCTTTCATTTGTAAACCGATTACAAAAAATATTTTTTATTTGGAATGAATAACTTCCCCTATAGTTTCATTCAAATGTGAAGAAAAAATACCACTCCTAGTTATGGAAAATTAAGTAATGTGGAAAAAAATTATTTTCTGGTTCAAATGTAACATTTTACTACCTTATCTAAATAAAGTAACAGATTTATTGAACTATATTTCAGGCTTCAGGTTTAGGATTATTTTATTTCTCACAAAGAATAACAATAACTATTTACTTACATGAGAAAAACAAATTACAGTTTGATTGATT